ACCACCACCATTATACACAAGATTGAATTGTCGGATCATGAACCAGTAAGGCGGAAAATGTACCCTGTTCCCGTTCACTTACGGAAAACTTTTGGTAATGAGGTTGACAAACTATTTAACTTAAATATCATAGAACCTTCGAAATCAGCTTTCTGTTCACCAGTTGTTATGGTTAAGAAACCCGATAATTCTTACCGACTGGCACAAGATTTTCGTTATTTAAATACAGTGGACCCCCGCATACCGGACGCCTTGCATAACGGACAATCCGCATACCGGACGCTTTGATCGCTAAAATTTTGCCTCGCATACCGGCCAAAAACCCGCTCAGCGCCCTTCGTCCGAGACGCGTCCAATGTGCGGCCTGAGCCACGCTCACATGTTCCACGGTGGCATTGTTTACCAGCCAGCCTCCGCGGTAACATCCAAGCATACAATCGGAACATTTCGTATTATTACAGTGTTTTTGGTGATTTTTTTTCTGGAAAATAAGTGACCATGGGCCCCAAGAAAGCTTCTAGTGCCAACCCTACAGCAATAAGGGTGAGAATTACTATGGAGATGAAGAAAAAGATCATTGATAAGTATGAAAGTGGAGTGCGTGTCTCCGAGCTGGCCAGGTTGTATAATAAACCCCAATCAACCATCACTACTATTGGTGGTACAGCTGCTGCTGCTGCTGTACCACCGTCAGCTGCTGCTGCACTGTCAGCTGCTGCTGCTGTACCACCGTCAGCTGCTCCTGCTGCTGTAGTACCGTCTGCTGCTGCTGTAGCATCGGCTGCTGCTGCTGTAGTACCGTCTGCTGCTGCTGTAGCATCATCTGCTGCTGCTGTAGCATCGTCTGCTGCTGCTGTAGCATCGTCTGCTGCTGCTGTAGCATCGTCTGTTGCTGCTGTAGCATCGTCTGTTGCTGCTGTACCACCGTCAGCTGCTGCTGCTGCTGTAGCATCGTCTGCTGCTGCTGCTGCTGCTGTAGCATCGTCTGCTGCTGCTGTAACATCGTCAGTTGCTGCTGTAGCATCGTCTGCTGCTGCTGTAGCATCGTCTGTTGCTGCTGTAGCATCGTCTGTTGCTGCTGTACCACCGTCAGCTGCTGCTGCTGCTGCTGTAGCATCGTCTGCTGCTGCTGCTGCTGTAGCATCGTCTGCTGCTGCTGTAACATCGTCAGTTGCTGCTGTAGCATCGTCTGCTGTTGCTGTAGCATCGTCTGTTGCTGCTGTAGCATCGTCTGTTGCTGCTGTACCACCGTCAGCTGCTGCTGCTGCTGTAGCATCGTCTGCTGCTGCTGTAACATCATCAGTTGCTGCTGTAGCATCGTCTGCTGCTGCTGTAGCATCGTCTGTTGCTGCTGTACCACCGTCAGCTGCTGCTGCTGCTGTAGCACCGTTGTTGGTGTGGCTTATTGAGAATACCAAGAAACAATTAACCCCAGAGGATTTGCCACCCAGGATAGCCCAAAAAAGTCAGTGTCATCGAAGACTGTCTAACTTATTTCCATTGGGGTCCTTAATCTTGTCTCCCAGGATGCAACCCACACCAGTCGACTAACACCCAGGTGAACAGGGAAAATGCCTGGAACTAGTGCTCATATTGGTGAATTTAGAGCCAGCAAAGGTTGGTTTGAGAGATTTAAGAATCGTAGTGACATACACAGTGTGATAAGGCCTGTTCTGGAAGAAAATACCAAACAGGACCTACAGTACTCAGGAGGAAAAGGCACTCCCAGGACACAGTGTCTCATCAGTCATTGCTGCATCTTCAATAAAGGTAAGTGTCATTTATTCTTCATTTAGTAGAGTAGTACATGCACAATATATATTGTGCATGTACTACTCTACTATTGTGCATGTATCCTTCTCTTTGTGTGTAAGAAAATGTATATTTCATGTGGTAAAAAATTTTTTTTCATACTTTTGGGTGCAATATCACACAATGCCTTTCGGCTTGGTTACCGCGTGTGCCACGTATATTAGGCTTATGAGAATAGTTCTTTCAGATCTAAATAATGTCTCAGTGTATTTTGATAATATTTACATCATGACACATGTCTGGGAAGACCATTTAACTACACTGTCGCTCGTTTTGAAAAGACTAAGAACTCATGGCCTTACTGTTAAACCACAAAAGTGCTTTCTTGGCTATCATAAGGTACAATACCTTGGGTTCATTATCTCTGACAACAACTTATCACCTCTTCCTAATAAGACTAAAGCTGTCTTAGAAAGTACGTTCCCTGCTACCAAAAAGTTATTAAGAAGTTTCCTTGGATCTGTAAACTTGTATAGAAGTTTTGTACCAAATTTAAGTAGTTTAACTTCAGTTCTTACAGACTATTTGTAAAAAGGGTGTCAAGGAACCTCTTATTGTTCTGATGAAGCCATCCAAAGCTTCGAAGAAATTAAAAGGATATTTTCAAACCCCTGTCCTAAATTACCAGATATTAATAAAAATATTTTGCTTCCGAACAGATGCCTCCCATTCTGGACTGGGGCTGTACTACTTCAATATTATGAGGAGACACCTTTCCCATATCTTTCGCCAGTAAGAAGCTTCTGCCAGAGAAGAAAGATATTCCACTGTGAGAGAAAGAATGTTATGCTTTAGTATGGGGTATAAGTAGATTCAAATACGTACTACCTATACGGTAAACCCTTTGTGCCTGAAACAGATCACAAGCCACTGATGTACTTGGAAAACTTTAAAGGGTCAAATAGCAGACTCTTGAGATGGGCTCTGGCTATTCAGCCCCATAAATTTAAAGTCGTTTATATTTCTGGCTCTGAAAACCACTTTTCAGATTGGCTGAGCCGAGGTTGTACATAGTTCTTTTCCCTCTGTTCGTTGACTTATTGACTCCGTCCATAAGTTTTGGAAGGGGGTATTGTGAGGGAAAAGTAGGCGTAAGTGGGGTTAAGGTTGTTCAGGCAACCAGGAACCATTAGCGAGTTACGTCGCGCACCCCCCCCCCCTCTGGCGGGCTGGGGCGAAATTAGTTCTTGGTGTCTGATTTGTTCAAATTTCTACTCCTGGTAGTATTGACCTTACCTGGTGTGGGTTGAAGTTTGGAGAGTCACTTCACCTCCACTCTTCTCCTAATCAGGTAGGGTGATCTACCAGGAGTATTACTGTTTATTCCTTTCTTTTGTTTGCTGGTTACCAGTAATGATTTTGGCATTTATCACTCCTTTCCATTCTTAAATGTTATATTATCATGACCCTTGGTAACCAGTTTATTTTTTCTTATTACCAGCTCTGTTCCTGGCGTGGTCATCCAGGATAGACGCCAGATAAAGGAGCAAGACATTTGTTAATGGGACTTATTAACATTATTCTACTACTACCAGCCCTTACCTGTTTTACTTGTGGTGCTCCAACCAAGTGGTAGAGGAGATTCCAAAACATCGAACTATCACCATCCGCCCAGGATAACCTACATCATTAATATCAGAAGATCTATCCAGGGCCTTGCCTACTCCTGCCCCACTACAAGAACCGAAGGCTATTTTTTTTTATTACATTTAAATTTTAAGTAAAATCATCAAAAGTCATTATTCTTATTTTTCCTAGTCATTTCTTTATTTATTTATTTTTCCATTAGTTTCTTTTGTTCAGATGGAAGGCGTTCCACTGACACTGCTCAGTGAAAGTAGTTGCTAATTTGCTCACTGGAATGATGCAGATGTGAGGTAAACTTACAGAAAAATAAGGTTGTCTTATAGAGGAAGAAATGACACTTACAGCAGATACCTTATTAATGACAATGTTACACCCATGCATAGGTGAAATATTGTCATTAATAAAGGTATCTACTGTGTCATTTACTCCCTTTGTCAATATTAACATATTAGAATTCCAAGGGTGCCTTAAGCTATACAAAACAACAGTGTCAACATCAAATGTCCAAGACTCTTTACAGTATATAACTTCGAAGTCTACTTCCAAATATCTGAATACATTCACTTCTTCCATACTCCCTCTCTTCCTACAATGTGATATCCAATTTTTCTTTACCTAACTTGTTTGATACCCTCATCACCTTACTCTTATCTATGTTCACTTTCAACTTTCTTCCTTTACACATCCTCCCAAACTTATCCACCAACCTTTGCAACATCTCTTTAGAATCTCCCAAAGAGTAGTATCATCAGCAAAAAGTAAGTGTCAACTCCCATTTTGTATTTGATTCTCCATAATTTAATCCCACCCCTCTTCCCAACACCCTAACATTTACTTCTTTTACAAACCCATCTATAAATATGTTAAAAAACCATGGTGACATTATTGGAAAGACCCAACTACATAGTGAAAGCTCCACCAGCCAGGTTGTTGGATGAACCACTGCTAATATTTTAGACAGGGGTGTGTAATGTCACCATGGTTCTTTAACATATTTATAGATGGGTTTGTAAAAGAAGTAAATGTTAGGGTGTTGGGAAGAGGGGTGGGATTAAATTATGGAGAATCAAATACAAAATGGGAGTTGACACAGCTACTTTTTGCTGATGATACTATTCTTCTGGGAGATTCTAAAGAGAAGTGGTCCATCCAACAAACCTGGTTGGTGGAGCTTTCACTATGTAATCGAGTCTTACCAAAGAACATACACAAAATTTGAATACATTTAGTAAAAGAATCAAGAAAAAATATTCTATTTAAAAAATTTCCATTTGAATAGTATTTACAATGATCATAACTGTAATATTGTAAGTGCTGAACATACTATGTCAGAACATCGTAAGTCAGAGGCCTACTGTATATGTTGGATTATATAATTTGTAAAATACTATTTTCAGAAATGCAGTCTTTCTAATTCAACCTATGCATTATGCAAATTAAATACCAGTATTACTTTTATATCTTACAATAAAACTATACTGTCTTTTGTCAATAACTTTTCATTATATAACAATGATCTGATCTTCCTTCTTAACCAAAGAAATCATACTGTACTATTAATACTGAAAATTCTTTCCACTGCACACATCTCTAATACTCACATGTGGTTGAGTAAGCATAGCAGTAATAAATGGCTTGATCACATGAAGTGCTATCTTTTCCATGATGGATGCAAAACTCTGTGCAACTCCCGCCACAGACATAACTTGCACAATGGGGCTAGCCTTCATGACACATGACAACAGCCATATCACAATGCTCAGAAATTTTAAGGTGCCTGCATTAGCTGAAAATATAAATTTATGTGCTGTCAGTAATTATCAACATATTAAAAAATAATTATAACTATGTATAATTCCTTTTTCTCCATGGGGAAGTGGAGAAGAAACCTTTCTCCATAAGCCATGCCTGTAGTAAGAGACTAAAATGCCAGAAGCAAGGGGCTAGTAACCCCTTTTCCTGTATAAATTACTAAATGTAAAAAAAAGAACTTTTGTTTCTCTTTTTTCAGGTCAGTCTGCCCTAATGGGAGACTGCTTGTGTTAAAGAAAAAGAAATCCTTTTTGCCATATGTACAGGTAGCAGGACTTCTAACTATTAATTTTCTGATTACCTAAGGCTATACTACCAGAGAAATCCATCTTCTATTCAATGGACCACTTCATTCATTTTAAGCCATTTTTTTTTTTTTCAACAAGTCGGTCGTCTCCCACCGAGGCAGGGTGACCCAAAAAAAGAAAGAAAATCCCCAAAAAGAAAATACTTTCATCATCATTCAACACTTTCACCACACTCACACATTATCACTGCTTTTGCAGAGGTGCTCAGAATACAACAGTTTAGAAGTATATACGTATAAAGATACACAACATATCCCTCCAAACTGCCAATATTAAGCCATATTACTCTAATTTCCCAATTCCTCACCATTCTCTTATAACCTCACAAATAAAACTTACTGTCTTTGCTCTACTTACAATCCCTGTGATATATCATGATATGGCAAGAACATTATTGCAGTTGGCTACACTAAACTGCTCCATCCAGTCAGTCATATAATGAAACAATGCTTCTCTTGCATGCATTAAAGTAAGGAACATCACTCCCTGTAAACCTTGAAAATGGCAGGGTTAAAAAATAAGAGTGCTTCAGTGGGTCAAGGAGTACTTAAATGCCAGAAGGCAGAGAGTAACAGTAAGGGATAAGACATCATACTGGGCAAGAGAAATAAGTTAAGTTCTGCAAGGATCAGTACTAGGACCACTACTGTTTCAACAACACATAACGACCTGCCAGAAAGGATTGAGTCCTTCATGTCAAAGTTTGTGAATCCTGTAAAACTAGTGGAAAGAAGAAGAACAGGTGAGGACAGATGTGGTCCACCAAGTGGATCCTTGAGTTCAACCCAAACATATGCAAGGTATTGGAAATTGAGAAGTGCTACACTCATTGGTTAATTACACAAACACAAAGGCCTCCTTATGAAACTCCTTTAGCCCACAGTGGCTTCTTAGACCTGCTAAAATGTGAGGGGGCCATAATCATCCTTTCTCAAATCATCAGGTTCACTATGTACAGCCTCTCCTTACTTAACAACAGAGTTCCGTTCCCTAGACCACACTGGTATACAAATTTGTTGCTAAGTGAGGAGCATACTATAATGGCAGTGGGTTTGTGTCAGCCATCTTTGATATTGTTTTAGTGTCACCTTTGCACCATTTATAACATTTTCAGTATATTTTTAAATATTTATACACCAGTGTACTGTATATTGTAATAAACAGAATAGAGGAAATCAGCTCTAATGTACATTATTTAGGTATGCATACTGGCCAGAGAGCCCATCATAAGTCTGAGTCGTTGGTAAACGAGTACGTCGCTAAGTGAGGAGAGGCTGTATTACTATGCCAAGAGAGAAACAGGTGTGTGGGCTATGGGCAGGCAGATAACAATACTGTACTTGTGTGGCATGGTGCGATTTGGCATTGTGTTGTGGTGTCGTGCTGAGACCTCTTGGTTTGGAATTGAACAGAGAAACAAATGAAACCATTCTGACATCAGCCACTGTCATAAAGTACATGAATTATAAGGATTTGATGGACAAATGCAACATTAAGACTGGGTTTGTTGATTGTAGCCAAAAGAGTTACAGGTGGTACATGAAAATGTTTTTCCAACTTGCAGACCTTACAATGCTGAATGTCTACAATATGTACCAAAGGCCAACTTCTCTTTCTCTGTCATCAGTCAAATAACACAGAAATATGTCAACACCAGCACAACACATGTGCCACCGTACACAGTACTGATGACCAAATACCCTCTTGTTTGAGTCAAGGTAATCACATTCTAACAAAACTTTCTGGTAATGTGGTTATCACGTTTTAACGAGACTTCCTGCTACTACGGTTATCATATTCTAACGAAACTTCCTGCTACTGACATGAGGAAATGGGCTCATAAACAATGTTATGTATGTGCCCACACCACAAGATGATCTGCTAAGCACAAGGAACCAGTTTTATGTGTGACAAATATGAAATGCCACTATGTATGCAGCCATCCTTCAAAGAGTTCCATACATTGCTACAGCTCTAACAACATTACCAGTGCCTGTCATAATAGTGTATATATATAAGAAAGTGATAGGGTGAATGATGGTGAAAATGTTTCTTTTTTGGACAACCCTTCCTTGGTAAGAGACGACCAGTGTGTTAAAAAAAAAAAATTAGAACAGTATAAAACTGAACAATTGCAAGTGTGTGCATATATTTACATAAGAATGCAAATGTGCATAACTGATATACTGGTGACACTTTAGCTGACTATTCTGATGCACAATAAACCTTAACCAAAATGACACTGGGCATAAAAGGAGGGTTTTAACCCACATTAGTGAGACCAAAATATTTCAATACACAGTGTGGCAATACTTAATGTTGCTGTCACAGGGTCAACAACCTTTAAATGTACACCTCCATATCTTAATAAGTACTGACCCAATTTCACTCAGTTTGTTTTTAACCTACAGAAAACTGAGCTCTTCATACTGAGAATTTTTTTTTTTTTTTTTTGGGTGGGGAGGGTGGGCCTGCAATACAGAAGTAACATTTAATTTAGAGTCCCACAAAAGGGAAAGGGTTAATGAACAAAAATGTATAACTCTGACATACCTTGGCCTTCAACAAGTGCAGTACTTTCTTTAGTAGCAAAATACATAGTTGTTTTCCATAGAAGTAAGACCTGATAGTGACCCAGAGTACCTATAGCTTTCATTATTGACACCATAAATCTGAAAAAACAGGACTTAGCTTACAAAATATATACTTTTAAATTATCACTAGGATATTTTTCTTTTAACTCAATGGCTTCTCCTTCCAAGGCAGAGTGACCGGGATAATATTTATAAAAATTAAGTGAAAAGTGTAAAGTAATCTAAGTATAAAACAGACAATAATTCAAACATAAATTACCCAGTACAAATAATGATACACAACTTTCCAAAATCTTCAAAATCAACTCACTAAAACGTTAAAAACATTCATACAGATCTAATTTAACAAACCAAATCAAACAAAATAGCAAAATTGACTTTAAAAAAATTGTAGATAACTTTATCATTGATAACTATAATTGTATAAATTAATATGGTATAGAACCAATCAATTCCTATATGTTGCTGAGGATGCAAACTTCATGAAAAGAATATGAATAGAGGAAGATTGTAAAAATGGTCCAATAAATAGTTGCTCGAGTTCAACTCTGTAAGTGCAAGATGAGGATGGGAGAATTACTAAATTATTGACATTTATAGACACATATAGATATATAACCTATGTAAAAATCAGGAAAACATTTAGTTTAAAAAAAACAGAAATGGGTTTTCTAATGGTTGCTGGTGAGTTATTACTTATAACTAAAACAAGGTTTACAAATGACTGAGTATGGCATAATATGTGACTTAAATGTAAGACAGATTGATTTGTAATTTACAGGTCAAGACTTTTCTTCTTTCTTTTTTTCAACACACCCCGTACCCACCGGGCGGGGGGCCCCCAAAAGGGAAAAAACAAAAGTTTCTCCTTTCAATTTAAAAATTTACAGAAAGGGGGTTACTAGCCCCTTGCCCTGCATTTTATGCCTTTACAACCGCTAGCTTACGAGGAAGAATTCGTTCCACCCCCCAGGAGAAAAGAGGAAATAAACAAGAACAAAGCTAGAAAAACTAGAAAAAAACCCCAGAGGGGTGTGTATACATTGCTTGTACAGTAGGTATTGTACCTAAGGTAACAAAGTACAAGACGAAACCTGAAACCTTGCATTTTTTATGAACAGAAAAAACACCAGAAATCCTCCCATCGTGTAAAACATACGGGCTTACTTTTTTACACCCCTTTGCGGACGGGAGCCCCCCCCTGGGCGGTTGCTTTACCAACCCCACACCTGGAAGACTATTTCTACCTTGCATAATTTCTTATTTGTTCTCAAAAACAAGGGGCCCAACCCGTTACGAAATTTTTTTTTTTTTTTTACACTGGTTACACAGATCAAGGACCCTCCAGGCACCAGTTCCAAAAGCTCCCCCGTATTTTCCCGGGTTTTAAATTCTTTCTTTCATACCATTATCAACTTAAGTTTTGCATATTTTTTGAAAATTTTATTCACAGGAAAAACCCTTCTAAAGATTATCGAACAAAAAAAAATAATAAAATCAAAATTGCAGAAAATTTGTTTGAAAAAAAATTTTTTTCAAAAAAAAGCCACAAAGAATTTTTTTTAACATTTGGCCATCCCCACTGAGGGGAGGTGAGCCAAAAAAAGAAAAAACTTTCCCCCATTGAACTTTTCACCATCATTTTACGTAATCACTGTCTTGCAAGGGACCCAGATATGACAGTTTAATGTCACTCCAAAAAGCCAATACCCAAAAATCCCCTTTAACCCTTTCGGGTTGAACCCCCTCCTTAAAACCCTTTTACTGCGCAACCTCAAATCCTGAAGGCTCCTATGTCACAAAAATTTGAAAAAAAAAAAAAAAAAACTTTTGAAATGATGAGAATTTTTCCGATGAAATGACACTAAAAATAGACATTTAGGAATTTCTCTCGTGAAGTTTGAAAAATCGGGGACATTTACTCATCAGCGATTTTTCCCCCCTTTGAGCTGTATTTTCAGCAATTCCATTGTTCCAGTCCACCAAACTCAAGTATTTCTTTTAAAATTCATTTGTTTGTCGACTGAGTACAAGAAAAACCCCCCATTTACCAATTTTAAAATACCCAATAAAGTTTCAAAATTGGGAATTTTTGGGCAATTTCTGCAAATTAAAAAATATGTCAATTTCAAACAGGGTCCAGAATGAACAATGCAGACATTCCTGGCACTAAAAAAAAACATTTTCACTGTTCATCATCACATCTCCAGGCACCTTTTTAAAAACTCTTTCTTTCTATTTGAATTTTTATTCAACAAAAAAAAAAGATTTACTGTTAGAAAATACTCAATATTTTAAAAAATTGTAAAATAAGTCACCATTTTTGACTGTTTAGAAGGCTATTGGACATTTTTGGACAATGACGCATTTTTACTCTTAACATTGGCAAAAAACGAACTTTCTGCCACTTTTAGCCCATTTTAAATCCTTTTCACATAAAACCAATCAAAATTTCTTCCCTTTTTATATGTTTTTCCCTTCTATCAAATAGACCAAGAAAACAAAAAACATCCAAAATATATACAAAAATACACCCCAAAATCGGCATTTTTTCCAAAAAAAAAGTCAGAGTTTTTTTTTCATTTTGCACTGCTGCTGCAGGGGTTTTTTTTAACGTGCGCACTGACCACACAGACCCATTCTCTCACATGTGGGCCTACCAGCTTTCTCCTGCTTGATTTGAAGTCACTAGAATTTTTGAGTATATATACGTACATTTATTTATTTATTTATTTATTTATTTATTTTATGTCTTTGCAAACAGTACATTGAGATTTTGTATTTACAATAGTGGATTGCAATGCAAAGAGAGCCTCTATTATGCCTAGGCATTATGGGCCAACTTAACATTATTGGCTTACAGTCTACTTAATACTAAGGAGCATATCATAGTTGTACAGTAGGATAGTAATTATTTCATAGTTGTACAGTAGAATATTAATTATAAATGAATCAAAATTTGTATAATACAAAGATATATCTATATTCTAAAATGCTTTTGTGAAAACAATAATTCAATTACATTCCTGTCAACAACGGATAAAAGGTTCAATGTGATTGTTTCATTTATGATGTGGGAGTACATAGGTGATTAAGTGTGTACTGAGTATTTAACATTTAGTCTAGGGTGATTAACTGGCTTTTGAGAAGAGTCTTAAATTGATTTTCAGACTGGCTCGTAAGACGTATATATACGACCAAAACAGTCAAAGGGTTAACTCAAAAAAAAAAATAAAAAATTCTTATGAAATGACAGAGAATATTTTCCCAATGGTAATGACACCAAAAGTACAAAATCTGATTTAAAACTTATGAAATTACACTCGCAAATTTTGCGATATCGGTGATATTTACACACCGGCAATTTCGCCCAATTTAAGCCCTATTGTCAACCAATTCCATTGTTCTAGTCGATTAAAATCATAACTATTTCACTAGAACTCCATTTGTTCTATTAACTGAGTACAAGAAACCATCCATTTACCGATTTCATCTACCCAATAAAGTGATCAGAAACTGGCAATTTGGCCAATTTCACACAAATTTCGAAATAGGATACAGAATAAACAAGACAGACATTCCTGGCACTAAAATAACATTTTCTCTGTTCATTAGTCATGTCTTGAAGCCCCTCTTATATAACTCTTACTTTCCATTTTGAATTTTTATTCTCACAAAAAATGGAAGAGTTACTGTTATGCATTATTGTAAAAATGGTATAAATAGTATCAGCGCACACGTGAAAGAATATTTGACTCACCAGTTGACGTGTATTTGACACGTGGCGTGATTTGTTTACTAAAGAACAGCGACAAAAACCAAACATTTCCACTACTTTGAGCTCAATTTCAAGGTACTTTTCATTGTGAAACCAATCATCTCTATTTCTATAACATATCTTCCATTCTATTAAATAAGACCAAGAAAATGAGAATACAACCATAAATACCATACGAAAATACACTGCAAATTCGTTGTTTTAAACCAAAAACACGGTCGGAGTTTTTTTTTTCTCATAATGCACCATGTGTGACAGGATTTTATTTATACTGCACACACTGACCACGCAGACCCATTCTTTCATGTGGAGACCTACCAGCTTTCTTCCATCAGATTTGAAGGCGCTAGAATTTTGGCATATAAATACGGGACCAACACTGGCTCGCAAGCCATTTATATATGGGACTGACCCTGAAAGGGTTAAGGTGAAGGTACTGTACTTCCCACTTCCAGGACTCAAGTCTGTTAACTGGTTTCCTTGAATCCCTTCACAAAATATTCCTCTGCTCACACTCCAACAGATCATTAGGTCCCAAAAACCATTTGTCTCCAATCATAAATTTACATAAGAAGTCACAGTCCAGAAAAATACAAGCACAGCAATTTAAAGTTAAAAATCCACAGGTGCTCCTTGACTTACAATGGTTCAAATGGTGCAAAAGTATTTACTTTGGATGTGATGAATGGCTTTGAAAACCGACAAATTGAAAAACTTTATTTTACGTTTTTTATAGTTTTTTCTTTTCTTTTCTAATTTTTTTTCTTTTCCTACTAACATTTGGGGCCTGAGAGACCAATACTGTACATAATGTATATATATAAACTCACTGTATTGAACACACTAACCGCACTAAGAATTTTTTTTTTTTTTTTAACAAGTCGGCTGTCTCCCACAAAGGCAGGGTGACCCAAAAAGAAAGAAAATCCCCTAAAAGATAATACTTTCATCATCATTCAACATTTTCACCTCACTCACACATAATCACTGTTTTTGCAGAGGTGCTTAGAACACAACAGTTTAGAAGCATATACGCACAAAGATACACAACATATCCCTCCAAACTGCTAATATCTCGAACCCATCCTTTAGAGTGCAGGCATTGTACTTCCCATTTCCAGGACTCAAGTCCGGCTATATAAAAATAACCGGTTTCCCTGAATCCCTTCACTAAATATTACCCTGCTCACACTCCAACAGATCGTCAGGTCCCAAATACCATTCATCTCCATTCACTCCTATCGAACACGCTCATGCACGCCTGCTGGAAGTCCAAGCCCCTCACCCACAAAACCTCCCT